GAACATGAGTAATCTGAAAACAAAATCTTATCCAGTTAACACAGAGTATAGATAATTGATAATCACAAAAAGCTATTAGCAGGGACATCTCCTACAGTAAGTGAAAATCTAAAGTATTATGTGCTTGAAACTGAGGTATCAGATGCCAAGATTCAGCAATTCAAATTACTTTTTGTTTTGCTAAATATTGCTCTTTAAAGTTTCTTGAGAGCTTAGAACAGGGGTAGTCGATATGCAATAATTGTACTACTTATGCTGTCGCCCTGGAACTGTGGTGTGAACTTCCCTTTAGAGAGGGCATAAAACTATTCCTGTAACAACAGACTGCATTTTTTGTTATTTCATTTTTGGAAACAGATACTTTGTTCTAGAGTAATTAGTCAGTGCAGCAGACACCACAGAATGACCCATAACTTTCCAAACACTGCACACATGTGAGAAATGAATGAAAGCAGATTATATGAATTATTCCTTCAGCACTGCCATCACATACAATTATAGCCAGCATTACCAAGCCTCAGAAACAAGATGACGGAATAAGAAAGGAGCTGGTAAATTTGATAAAAGAACTGTAATTCTAGCATATGCTCTCAGATTCCCAGGTGTTCTGGCTCTCAGATTCCCACTACTGTCTAGCACATCAGAGCCCTGAATCTGAAGGCTGTTCAGCATACCTAGCTAGTTTGGTGCCTAGTAGCTAACTCATCCAAGAATCTCATCCAGCTGTTTCGTGAAAGAAACCATGCTTCTTTCTGGGGTCTGAATACTTATTCAAGCATGGCTAGGTATCCAAAGTTTCCATTTGTGCCCTCTGGTTCATGTCACATTAATAGGTTCAGTCTACACTAATGGGTCCTTTTACACAGCATTGCTTCTATGCCATATTGCATTGTAACATTAATTACTCAACTCTCCTGCATTATACTAATCCAGCACACGAATCACTTTATCTTCTGTCTGTACTCTGGCTGACACTGACAACTGTGCTATTTTCCACTCCAGACAATTGTGAGCACTGCAGAACAGCCCAACAAGCTGTACATTTTTCACGAAACACTTACAGGTTTCTTTGGCTGCTCCAGGTCAGTGTGAGAAAACTGTAATATAAAGCAGTTTACCTGTCTGGCCCGAAGGTGCACAAGTTTGTGAAACAGAAAATATTTACAGTGCCTGCCAAAAGTATTCAGACCTTTTAAAAGGTTTCAAATGTTGCTGGATTACAAATGATAATAACACATCTTTTTCCAATCAGTATTTGTATTGCTATCCCACATGCTCAAACAGAAAAAGACTACAAAATTAGTTATTTGCCAGCAGATAATGTAAGGAAAGACAAATAGCTCTGATCCCAACACCCTTGAATCCCCCAGAACATAAAAATATTTCCACTTATCCTTACTGTGAGATGTCTGCCTCAGGTGATTGACTGGGACGTCACCTGAAATGGTATTCCTAGCATTCTCCCAGTGTTTAAATCTGACACTAATTAGTTCAACCTAGTTGACGTTCAACAAAAGCTGAATGGGAAGAGCTAGCAATAATGTATGAATATCAGTTTTTGAAGTGAACCTACGGAACTAATTAAGCAAAGTAAATCAGATTTAGGAAATAGAGCATTGGATGAAAGAATGACACTCAAGGATGGGAGTCAATCAGAGTGCCATTCACAAACGCTTATTTTAAACAAATTGTTTGGACACACAAGAATTTTCTATGATCATATATAGTAATTATCCTAATCAAGCCACTAAGTAAGAACCTGCATTAACTACTATTGTTTGATGAAACAATGTAAAAATGTGTATTGTGTGTCACATTGATCTAGGAAGTGTCTAGAACTTGTTCTATCCAATCTACAGTTCTATTGATACACGTGCACCCAAATATAAGCTCTCCCTCTATATTCTGAAGTATTTGCAATTTGTGTCTATGAAATACTGGTCACACAACAATATTTGCTGTGAAACTTCTCACAGATTTTCATGGTCTTAAGGTAAGATTAAACACAACCAAAAATGTATATATTTATATACAGTATATATAATAGATAATATATATAATACACATTCTAATGCGTCACTACCTGTGCTTTATTTGAGCACAAGAGAGCTTGCCAGAACTGCTTTTAGCGTTGTCCATATCATATCACTGACTCTGGTGTCATGCAAAGTCTCCAAGATGTGATTGGTTGCCTGCATCAAACAATGTATGGTGACATAATACAGATCTTTTGTTTCAATATAGGCAAATAAAGGCACTGTACAGTACATCATCATTAAATAGCTTTATGGCTAAGTGGCATCAAGTTACTTAGCGCAGAGTAGATAAAGGTGATGGGAATTTGAAACTCACCCCAAAGCCTGTCTTCTTGAATTATGAGTAATAAAAGAAAATGTGCTATTATATTTAGCCGAATGAAGTTATGCATCAATTCCATTTCCAATTTTTTTTTTTACAAATAGGTCATACCATCCAGGATCCCTTACTTAGTATCTGGTTCAAATGTTCTTTGGAAAGGTTTCTGAATTCCAAAGAGGCCAGTTGAATTCTGAAGAACCCTGACAAATTCTAGGAATGGTCTCACCGCATCTCCTGTTCTCCAGGCACAAGCACTCCTGTTTGCCTACTAATCCATGCAACTCCAGATCAACAGCTTTTCCAGCTGTCAGTTAAGGACAGCACACATGAGACTCCTTATCAAGAAAGTCAGGCAACATGGGAATACAAGAAAGAAAGTCTATTCTAAAAAGAAAGACATCTGACGGCAGAAACTTTAAACAAAGTAATCTAAGACATGCAATAACATTTATGTGTGTTCTGACAATGAATCATGTTGAAAAGAGCCAGATAGTAAAGAAATATCTGGGTTTCGAACTTATTATATGGCACTTCTAGAAAGGAGTGAATCTACTGTATGTACATGACCAACAAGGTGTTTCCAGTCTGAAGTTATTTTATTTCTCAAACATCCTGTAATCAAAAACAGTGAGGGTGGGTCATTAGTAGATGTCTTTTTTAGCTCTACAAAATAATATTCCACAAAAAGCCTTTTTTCTGTGAAAATTTGAAATTATTTTTGTCTTTAAAACCATTTTGAGTGATCATGGCATGAGCGATTCAGCAACAATCCCAGCAGTGACAATACAAAGACTGGGTTTAAAATGCTGTATAATATTGGAACTAAACAAAATATTTTATTTTATTCAATAGTGATTGAAACGTTTTGGTAGAAAAATACATTTTTAGATCGAATTGATTGCATCTCCAATTAATGAAGTTGTACAGTATGTTTCACTCTTTGTGTTCTTTGCCTTCACCACACTCCAGTGTGATCTTCTGATGGCCCAGCACCTTAGTACTTCAGGGCAAAAAGAAAAAAAATCCACAAAACACCAAGGTAATTTCCAATAATACTATCGGTGCTGTCATTTATTAGTGTGGTGACTGTATACTGTACTGTAACACAAGTGCACCTTTGTTTTGACCGAAATACAGATTCCTGCAGGTGGGGGGAAGTCAGGGAGTTTCCAGGAGCCATACTACAAATACAAATACGGTATAGGAGAACTATTTTAAATAACTGAGCAGAAAATTCCTAAAAAAAAAATATTTCTTTACTTGCTATACAATATTTGATATAGAAATGTACAGATAATTGGAATTATCAGACAGGCATCGTTGTCCCCTTTGACTAACAGGACTTGGGCACACTTGGGAAAGTGGTGCTTCTATAATTCCACTTTGTGAACAAGGCCTCATTTTCTCAGAGTTATATAAGCCACCACTAGCCAAAAAATCTGATTCTACAAGGTTCTTAAAATGTTTTTTTTCCAGTAATTGATGGAATGGAATTATTTGGCTCTGACTATACAAAAGAATACAGTACATGGCACAGAGTTGCTCTGCACATAACGTCTACTTTCTATTACCCTGAGAACCAAAACTCAGGACAGTCCAGCACTGTCCCACATAAACTGGAAGAGGGGAATGAGGTTCCTCTTGCACAAACAATCTGGGTCTAAAGGCCAGCAGAACAGAGTTCAGCTTGTTTCGTGTGCTGGAAACCATACACATTATCATTATTAATTCTGCTTATTGTTATCTCTATGAAGAACTGGCGTTTTTTTTTGTAGTTGTTTGTAGTTGTTGAAGCATTTTGAAGCAAATAAAGATTAATTTTACAAGGTTTACCCAGTGTTTATTAGTTGAAATAATGGTAGGAAAATACATTTAAAAGGTACACTGTGAATATTCTCTTTGCTGCAGTATGTTGTGAAACGTCAGTATAATGAGGAACTATTTTCCCGTAACCTCTTCTGACAGCTTAAATTTGTTCTTATCATAATTTTACTACCATAATTTTATGCAATTTTCTATTGCATAATTTTACTACAGTACATTGTTTATCCTAAAGTATTGTTTTTAATGTCTTTGAAACACCATGAATATCGTGGTACTCACGTGCTCAATAGAACTCAATATAAACACGTCAAACCGTGGCAAATCATTGCAAAACCACAGTATAACTATGGTAAAAGTGAGAAAATTCAAAGGGAATTTTTACAAAGCTGTGAAAAACCAAATCCTGTTGCCCCCAATATTATCTGAATAATGGCTATCGTGATGTGTTCATTATCATTTTACGAAAATAATAAATCTTAGTGGAGATGAGAGGTTTCATTAGGTCAAAATAATTAAAATACACGCATGAAACAAGAGGCTTAGATTGATGTTTCTTAAAAAAACTCAATGTGTGGTCATTTTGTGAAATAGTAGCCACTAAATTGAACCCTACAGTAGCAATGTAATAAAGAATGTTTTCTTCGTTAAAGCTAAACAAACTCATATGACATTTATTTTATGTCGCGTAGTCCACACTCTCAAGCATTTGTACACGAAGACACGAGTACTGCATGTACTGTAGTCCATTTGCACTGTACGTCTGAAACCCCCCAGACAGACTCCTTTACAAATGGGCGGTCTGGAAATACTCTGTAAAAATCCTTAGGTCGTTCCTATTGCAGAAATTAGCCGTGCTAGGTCCTTGTGCTTTCCTTTACTGTGCTGTATTTCCAAAGGGGACCTGGGAGAGTGCAAAAACTGAAAATATACATTTTTCTTTTCAAGCGTATAGCCTCTGAGAAGGAAAACATACAAAATGGGCAAAGTAAAAGGCGGAATGATATGTGTCAAATATCTGCTCTTTATGTTCAACTTTACGTTTTGGGTAAGTGATTGCCTTCATTGTGTGCGTTTTAGTCAGTATCAGTACTAGTTAAACACCTGTGTTTACTGAACTGCCAGATTTTCCTTTTTTTGGAAACGCATCTTTTTGAGTCTGGGAGGCAAGTGCATGCTTACGTAAGTTGAAAGCGCAAAGTATTTTATTTTCCATTTAGTTATATACAGTGTAGTCTCATCTGTTTTACGGGGTATGTTTTTATTCACCATATTTCCATTTTTCACATTTTCCGTAATTAAAATGTAAGACATTTTCAGCTTCTCTTGGGGCTGATTCGTCCGCAGTGTAAAGGGTGGATGGGATGGAGGTTGTGTTTTGGCTGTGCGGGCTCAAATCAGATTTTCCACTGAGGAACATCCGCCCCCTTTTCCCTCTTGTAGCGTGTTTTCAAAAGAAGGGTTGTTTCAGTCTGTAGCATGAAAAGGAATCTCGGCTCTTGGCTGGTTACTTTCTGCACTGCCACAATACGTTTGCAGCTTTTCTGTCTAATGCCACTCGCTGTGAGCAATTAGATTGAAACTGTACGGGTGATTAAAACCGTACACAAGGCTATCCTGGAAACACACACCTGAAACGGAGTGCAACATTTTCGCTTTAAAAAACCCTCAACTTAAAGTATGTCATTTGGAATGTAATGGTAACAGGTGGTTGAAAAATGAAACTTTTGTTTTTATTATTTACACCATTGAATAATAATAGATAATAAACCAATGTAATAGTTAAGTGCACAAAACGTTTTGTAGCTAATGCCCCTTTTAACTATGAATCGAGTAGTTGTTGATCCTTAGGAGATTAACGGTGTAGCCTATGCCTTCATGTTCGAAGTCGAACTACTCATTGCTTGTCTTCATGTTGAAGTGCACACTCTGTACTTCCTGAGTAAGAAGACTTTGAAATCGTTTTATCTTGATGTCAAAGGGCCCCTCGCTTATCAGCGGTTATATCACGCAACAGTTTGGAAGGTGTCCCATGTTCTCGAAGCTTATAAAAATAACTTTTCAAGTTTGACCAGTTTTGTCTACACGAGGTACCAGTCAAAGGCAGGAAATTAGGTTCATACATTCTATAAATTGCTTTCAGTGTGCTTTTTAAATACACATGATTAATTCAGAATAAAAGCAGTGTCCTAGGGATTTGCCTAAGGTTGTCTTTATGCGCTTTATTATGTTTAACCCACTGGGAGCTGTGTCGAAGTTCATTGACAAGAATACTGTAAGAGAAAGCAGTGGACGTGTTACAAATAAGCGTTAAATAAACAATAAATAAGACAAAACATGCAATTTTAAGAATTACACAATTGTCCCTTTGTGCTTTGACCATTGGTGTATATAAATACAGTAAGTGAAAGCATTTTTGTTCTTGAGCTACAGTGTGGTACAGAAGTAGTTTTTGTGTGTAGGAGGCGAGCATTTGTCCATGGTGATGCAATTTTGCTACAAAAAGAGATTGCATCCCCAAATTTCTAAAATCTGGTTAGTTATGAGCCATTAGTAGGATTGATGTTTCTAAATTTGATGCATCTAATGGAATCTAATATGTTATATTGCAACTGAGTTGAATGAAAGGTGTGAAATAATGAACCTTTGGATTTTAGAAGGCCAAATTTTTCTTGGTCAAGGAGCCTGTGCTGATGCTGGCTTTTCTTGGGTGACTGCTCCTTTTTGGGACAGAAATGTAGCTTTACATTCTCTGCCCTGCCTCTGCTGTGCATCCTTAGAGAACTGGAATCTTCCTCATAGGCTTCAGCAAATGATTCCCCTTGACTTTGGTTGCAGTCTGCGTTTATGTGACACTGCCATATTGTATCTGGTATGGAAGCCATGAGGTGGTTTCAAGTACATGCAATGGTTTTATGGAACCGGAAACAGCATTGGAGCAGCTGTGCAGATACTTCATTATGTACTGTACTTAGATCTTGTATATCTGTGGTTTTCATGTGAATACTTGTTCATCATTTACGTATGAGACCACATACACAGATGTAGTGATATTTTAAAGGACTTAATATCATGAACAGTTTCCAGAACTGTTCAAACTGCTGCTGAATTGTACTGCAGATACAGCATATAGTATTCTTATATGACACAAAAAACATGTACAGTAATATGTTAGATAAAGTCTCTTTAAATATGAATTGTTGCTCTTTGTGGATAATGGGTTACGGATGTAATTTACAAAAGTTATTTTGTGCTCAAATAGCATTAGGCAGTTCAAGATTTCTATTCCACAAGAATATGAAGGCAAAGATAAATATAAATGTGCCATATACATAAAAAGTGTTCATCATTTGTGAAAATGAAAATTCCCCCTGGGAGCATTTTGTACAGCAAGGCATCTTTGTTATGAATCAGCCCAGACGTTTAAAGCATTAGTTTAAGACGAGTCATAGAAAAATAAATCTTACTCAGCTGTGTAACCCAGTGTCTGGTGTTTTGCCTGCAGTTCTGTGGCTCCTGATTAGTGGCCAGTAGCAGACAGCAGTCATTTTTCCACTCCGGTTCACAAAAACTGTTTAAGAGCTGCGTGGGCTGAAGGAGGCTGACATGGGCTCTGCATGACTTGGCCCTGGCACCCCAGAGAGAGACAACAGCTGGCAGAGCACAGCAGAAATGAAGTGCTGGGATGATCCTGACCTAGATGTATGAAGATCAGGATTGCTGTCTATGACAGTGATCGTTGTATGACGTCTTGCTTGTAGGATTATCATGCCTCTGCACACACATGCCGGATTGCTGTCACGTTGTTTGGTTTGTGATCTGAAATATATCAACCCTTTACTTCTGTTGCTCTTTGAAGCTTCTCTGTCATAGCCACTGTTTTTTTTAGCTCAGGTTGCCAATACACTGTAATAACTCTGTCTGTTTATAATATATGTCCCTGTTTTTTTCTCATTTTTCATCCCTCAATGTGTTTCACTTATCCATCTTGCATACAGAGCTGGAGACTCATTCATTAACTCCTCCTGTCACCTCTTGTGATACGAGTTCAGACCCAATCTCGTTCGCAAGTGGCAACAGTCCACATCAGTAAAGTAGGGTGTCTGACCTCTTTGCTGTGCTCTGATTTTGAATATAATGCACAGTGCTTCAGAAACCCAGCACATTATGAGCTTGTCAATAATCTTTTAGCTGGAGTTGTGGTATACCACAAAGTGGCTCACTTCCATCATTGGGTGTCTTATTTCATTTTTCCAACCTACATCTCAGTACTCAGCTTTCTTATGATCTCCTGAGAAAAGCAGCTATTAGGAGACTTTTTAAAATGGTGTCTTGGTCTTCTGAAGCCTTCATTAGCAGACTCCCATAGGACCCCTAACTGTCTGATCACTAATTGCAGTGGGAAGCAGAGTGAGTGTGCTGAATGCTAGAGGCGTTGCTGTGGAATACAAGAGGGTGTGTTTCATCATCTGCTTCCATTAGAGCTATCTCATACCTAGCCTACATTAAAACATTAATGTCAAAAGTCAGAAGTGAAGATGATTTTTGTTTTCTGTTCAGACTTGACAATCCCATTTGATCAATTCCAAGGCAGCTAATAGTAAATTTGACAGTGCAGGCTTGAAAATTGAATCTTTACATGTCATTTCTGTACTTGTGACTAATCTGATAGTCAAGTTCACAACCTGAAACATTGAGGGACCTCTGTATAAATCTGATTCTATGATAAGATTGTAAGATACAGTGCAGTAAATAAATGTCAGCCGATAAAAAAATGTTCTGAAATTCATCTTCTAACAGTTACATGAGTAAGAATTCATACATATTTTGTGTTTGATTAATTCCTTGTTATGGAGTGTCTTGATTACAAAGATGAATCATATGAGGTGGGCATGTACTGTACAAAACCTCCTTCCCTCAGAGCTGTGTACAGACTGAGAAGCTTACCACTTTTACCACAAAGCTAAATTATAACAGGGAATCTTGATAAAAAAGCACATTCTTTTCTTCCCGTGCTGTACTGTTAAATTATTTTTAATAGTATATGCTACACAGATTAAACTAAATATGGCTCTAAAATGGTTTTGTTACACAACAGTTCAGTTCTGAGCGCACAGCTTCAGTCTGCATCAGGTCTGAGCTTCTCATTCTCAGCCCTCGCTGTTTCCAATGCCCAAACGTCATTGTCCCAGACTTTCAGTGCTTTCTTCCTCAATCTTTTCCAAACACACTCTGGTGCCCAGGTCTCGGGCGTTCTTCCCTAGTGCCCAGGATGACGGGACTCTGCCCAGCTCCTGTCTTCACCATGGCTGTCTCCCACCTACATCGTAGAGCCATCACTCCCCTCTCGGTGTCACGATTATAGTCCCCCCTCCTTAAGGGTGCTCCAGCCCTTTCACTTTAGACTTAATTCTTTGCACCTGACCCCTTTTCCCAGCCCACCTTAAAAGCCAGGCGCTGACGTTCATCCTGGCTCTGCATCTGGTTTCCGCACCGTGCGAGTCCGGGACCTGGAAGCTCCTGGTCCCGTTAAGGTTTTAACCCCTGTTCCTGTTCCTGTTCCTGTTCCTTGTCCGCCGGTTCTGACCCGGTTCGTGTTTTTAATTCCTTGTTTGGATGGATCACCTGGCTATGGACTTTCTTGTGTTTTTGGATTCCCTCTATGGATTACTTTTGGATTGTTTGCCTCGGCCACACCTCCCCCGTGCACCAGCGCACTTTGGACACGCCCCCCCGTCTCCAGCCCCGTTTTCCTGCATGACGTTTCCCCTGTGTTTCCCTTCTTCGGATTGTGTCGTCCGCATAGGGTCCGGAAAGAACTGTTCGTTACACTCGGCTCCCGTTCTGCAGCTCAAGCTTTTGTCTCAGGCCAGTGCCCATCTGAATCACTGGATCCATTACACACCTCTTGAGCTCTGCCGAATTGTCAACTGCAAAATGAGATTTCCTTTTTGTTTAACCCATATGTTAGATGTATATGTGATTTATTATATTGTCATATCATCAAAACAACATAAGCTAAGACGTTGTTCTGTCCTTACAGTCTGA